AACTTTGTGCATTTTAATTAAGATGTGTCTTGAGGTGGGCCTCCTTTTTTAAAAATACTTTATTTATTAAATTTTTTAGAGGAAAAGGGAAGGAGAGAGGGAGAGAGATATCAATGTATGGTTGCCTCTCATGCATCCCCTGCTGGGGACTGGCCTGCAACCCAGGCATGTGCCCTGAGTATCAAACCTTGATCCTTTGGTTCACAGGCCCGCACTCAATCCACTGAACTACACCAGCCATGAAATGGATCTCTTTGCATACACCTTATTTGGGACTCTCTGTGCTCCTTGGACTTACATGTCTATTTCCTTCACCAAATTAGGAAAGTTTTCTTTAATTATTTTTTCAAATAGATTTCCAATTTCTTGCTTTATTTTCTTCTGGCACCTCTATAATGCAAATGATGGAATGCTTGAAGTTGTCCAAGAGGCTGCTTACACTATCCTCATTTTTTTGGATTCTTTTTTCTTCTTGTTGTGCTGCTTTTTTTCTTATGTTCCAAATTATTGATTCGATTCTCAGCTTCATCTACTCTACTGTTGTTTCTCCTTAAGTTGTTCTTCATCTCAATTAGTGAACCCTTCATTTCTGACTGAGTCTTCGTGGTGTTGAGGTCCTCACTAAGTTCCTTGAGCATCCTTATGACCAGTGTTTTCGACTCTGAATCTGATAGATTGCTTATCTCTGCTTTGTATAGTTATTTTTCTGGAGTTTTGATCTTTCACTTAGGTCATGTTTCTTTGTCTCCTCACTTTGGCAGCCCCCATCTTTTTTATGTATTAGGTAGACAGATAGAGCTACCTGTCTTGGTAGTGTAGCCTAACATTGTAGGTGTCCTGTAGGATCCAGTGACACAGCCTAACAGCCAAGCTAGGTATTCGAGGTGCACCTTTCATGTGGGCTGACTCCATCCTCCTCTTATAGTTGAGGTGTGATTGCTGTCAGAAAGTCAATGGGAAGCCAGCCAGCTACAAGGACTGACTGCAACCACTGACCATCAACCTCTGTCCTCTGTGGAGGATCAGCTGTGCAGGGGCAGGGAAGTGGTGCTCCAACAGAGTCTGGCTGTCTACTGGGTGCTCAGGCCCTGGGGTTTCCCAGTTGGTGTAGGCCAAGGTCAGCCTCCACCTACGTTTTGCCCAGGCCACCCTGCTTGAGCTATAAAGCAACCTGAGATGGCTGCTGTGTGATCTGGGCTTAGAAATTCCCATGAAAAGCCAAGCTGTGAATCTAGGCTGGCTGTTGCTAGTGCTCTGCCTGGGGCCACTTAGCAACAGGTACAGGGGCTTAGGGATCACTGAGGCCGGCTGTTCCTTATTTGACAGAATTTAGGAAGTTGTGAAGCATGAGCCAAGACCAGCCATTCATATGGAAAAGTGTCTGTTCACAACTTGGGTAGGTCCATTAGTTGGGTGTGAAGGAGTCCCAGGGGGTTTCCAGAGAGTCTCAGGAGCCACAGGATGTAGGGTAAACAAAGTCAAGTCTGGCTCCCTCACCCAGATGTCTAAGGAACTAAAATAAGCTGTATGCTCATAGCCTTGAGTGTGGGTATGATAAACTGTGTTCCCATACTACTGAGTGGGTCTGCATGCACAAAGTCATGCTGTTACACAATATTTTGGCTCCCTGTTGGCTTTGTTTGCATTTAGTATATAAGGGAGGTAGGGGCTTCCCACTGGGGAACATGCGGTTTACAGTGTGTATGGATTGTCCACCCTGGATGAAAGGTCTACCCACAGCTCCGCAACTTTTCTTCCATCTTCCTGAATCCTGGAACCTGTCTGGCCTTGAAAGGTTGCAGCACACAGGGGATCTCCAGGATCAAACAGTGTTAGCCAGGTTGATGGAACCTCAGATATGGCCAACTGGCCAACTGGCTCTGTGGCTGTATGGGGGTAAGGTTCAGAAAAGGAACAACAGCCTCCGCCTCTCTGTCTGGGAGAAAGCTGTCTGTCAGCTCCCCTTGACCCCAGACACTTCACTTTCTCCCTGTCACTGGTGCCAGAGCTCAGAGTGAGTTTAAGTTTCTGTGCGGGTTCTTTATGAGGAACTGCTTGGGATGCTGACTCAATACCTGCTGGTTTTGCCACCAGAAGTTATAGGGATTTATGTTCATGGCACTGGAACCAACCTTTGCGTTGGGGCACCTGCTGTGCTGCTGGGACTCTGTACTGCCAAAATATGGCTCCCGAGTTTTTCCCCAGTACACATGGATGTGGGACCAGCCCAGTCCACATCTCCTCCCCACCTCCCAGTTGGGATGGATGTGGTTTCTCTAATTCCATAGTTGTCAGACTTGCATTCAACTCAGTTTCTGATGGCTGAGTGATGGCTGTTCCACATTTTAGTTGTAATTTTGACGTGGGTGTGTGAAGAAGTGAGCTGTGTTTACCTGTGCCATCTTGACTGGAGGCCTTACCAATTTTTTTTGGTTACAGTGACTTCACAAAGAGTATAATTTCCCAGAGGCTCTAACAGTGCTGTGGATATTCATAAAGAGTAGACAAGTGTGCCCGGTTTAACCGCCCTAACCAACCCCACCTTTGTATCTAAGGGCAATACGCTGTTTTTCTCTATGGCAAGATGGATAGCCTGAAAGAAAGGAGTCTAATTACAAAACACTGCAAAAAAAGATTTGTAATCAGACAATCCTCAAAAATCTGCAAATGAAAATCCCCACGTTATAAGGACCCCAGGGGAGAATAGGCCAAACATTACACTGTTCAAACAGCAGTATATCCACATTAAAAGCGGATATTTTAGTACTCAGTAATGACATGAGGTACTGAAGGAAACTTTTCAGACTCACTCAAATTAAATCATTTCATGTTTAGAAGTGACATTGAAAGTTCATCTTCAAAATGTGAGGGGAATCCACATAAAATAATGTGCTAAGATGACTGGCATCATTTTTTACCAAAAATATTAACCAGAATTAGGACAAATACACCTTATAGGGGTGTCCTACCTTTTGGTGTCTCTGGGCCACACTGGAAGAAGAGTTGCCGTGGGCTGCACATTAAACACATTGCAACATGTAATCACACACACAAATCTCGTGTTTTAAGTCAATCGCCAATTCTGTGCTGAGCTGCATGCACGGCCACCCTGGGCCACAGGGTGGACACCTCCACGTCAAAATCAAGAAACCACTTTTTTAAAATGTAGGGACTTGTGTACCTGACCACAGTCACAACGTTAACCTAAGGAGATAAAATATATATGCTAGTTCTCTAATTTCAGGAGGCTCAGAACCACTTGGATGCCTGTTAAAATGCAGATTCCTTGACCCGACTTCCAAAGATTGAGATTCCATAGTCTGAAGTATAAATGTGGACATGAATTTTGATAATACAGACCAAGAATTTGGTAATGAGCCCTCTGAAGATATTTTCATTAATATTCTCACATTCATAATTTGTAACAATGATTCTCTATTTTAAGGAATATCAGAGACTCTTAAGAAATGATGTGCTCTTCCCTCCCAAACACGCATGTATACACACAAGACTTCAAATATGGTAAGAGGTTCACATATCTGCCCAAAACCTCAAATAAAGGAATTCGAGATACAAAGATGTTACCTTGTTACATAGTTGCACACAAGTCACGTGAAATACTAGGTTCTTCAATAACCATTTTGAGTTACTTTACACAAACAATATTTAATAATGGGCATAATTACATGAATTTCCCATAAGAACTACTTGGCATCCATAAAAACCTTTGGAATATCAAGTTCAGCAAAAATCACTATCTATCCCCAAAGAATATTTTCCTTACTTAAAAACCTTCAGACATCATCACGATTCAAGTTCCTAGCATACAGAGATGAGGAATCCTGGACACAGGAAACAAACAAAATAGGGATGTTCTTAAATGCAAAACAAGTTTTCTAAAGACTCGTATCAGAAATGAAAAGCCTTTTTAGTCAAATTCAACATTACTTGCATTTTTAACAACTTTAAATCTCACACAATACCTCATATATTTTACATGTTATATTAAGGTATAACATGTAAAATATGCATCTTGTGAAAACTGGAAAACAATCTTTAAAAAGTGAGACTAACAAAGTTAGCCGAACTACCTATTTCAGCAATCTCAATAGGTCAAGTTTACACAGTATTTGCTAACTGGATTGATTTTGTGGACTCCGATTAAGACTTTATCTACTAGCATTCTCTTCAGGCAAGGACAACAAAAGCAAAAATAAACAGAATTACATCAAACTAAAATCTTTTGCGGGGTGAAAGAAACCATCAACAAAAGAAAAACACAACCTACCAAATGGAAGAAGGTATTTGCTAATGACATGTCTGATAAGGAGTTAATACCCAAAATATATGGAAAACTCACACAATTCAACATCCAAAAAAAAGTCCAATTAAAAAAATGGACAGAAGATCTGAACAGTCATTTCTCTCAAGGACACACAGATGGCCAACAGACACGTGAAAAGATGCTGGACATTACCAATCGTCAGGGAAATGCAAATCAACACCACAGTAAGATACCACCTAACACCTGTCAGATCCACTATTTTCAAACAAAACAAATAACAAAAGTTGGCAAGCATGTGGAGAAAGGGGGACCCTCATACACTGCTGGTGGAATTGCAGACTGGTGCAGCCATTTTGAAGAACAGTACAGAGGATCCTCAAAAAATTAAAACTAAGCCTACCAGATGACCCAGCAATGTCCCTTCTAGGTATCTGTCCAAAGAAAACAGTAACATTAATTCAAAAAGATGCATGCATGCCTGTGTTCGATGCAGCATTATTTGCAACAGCTAAGATATGGAAGTAACCTAGGTGTCCACTGATAGATTTGCAAATAAAGATGTATTGTATATATGTAAATATATATAATCATATATATATACACACACACACAAATGGAATATTAGCCATAAAAAACAATGAAATCTTGTCATTTGTGACAACAAAGGTGAATCCAAAAGGTGTTATACTATGTGAAGTAAGTCAGACAATGAAGGACAAATACAGTATGATTTTACTTAACATGTGGAATATAAAAAACAAAACAGACTCATAGAGAACAAACTGATGATTGCCAGAGGGGAGGGGGATGGAGGGAAAGGCCACAAAGGTGAAGGGGTGTAAGAGGAAAAAACTTGCAGTTGTAAGTCACAGGGAGGTAATGCATAGCATGGAAAACATAGTCTATAAGATCATAGTAACTTTGTACAGTGACAGGTGGGTACTAGACTTATTGAGATCATTTTGTAAGGTATATAAATGTTAGATCACTATGTTGTGCTCCTGAAACTAATAACATTTTGAATGTTGACTATACTTTAATAAAAAATATCTAGCACTGTATTATCACTTCCATATCAAAAATGTGCTACATATAAATTCAGGCGGTTCAGTAAAAATGTTTCAAAGTAGTTTTATAATAAAACTTGACAGAAGTTCAACTTATTAACTATATTAAGATTTTTTAAAGCTCTGAAGTAGGTACCACATTATGTAGTGGGAACAGGCGTCCAAAATGCCCCTGTCTACGACGAACAAGGAGGACATCAAGATGTTCTAAGCAATTTCCTGAATGGCAGGAAATGAAAGGCTGGAGACGCTGAGTTTTTGATCAGTTTACTTCTTTCTTCTGAATAAGCTTACTCATTATTAACTGATGAAAGATAATACATATGATATTAAAAACCAACATCTAACGGTTCTACTGCCATGACTGTCAGTCAATGCCTAAGAAGGAAAAAAATTTCATTTGGTTCCCTAGCTTTCTGGGGGGGAGATGTATCTATTAGACCATTAGAACTGCGTCACATTTTATATTATTAACATCAATTGTAGGAAGTTGCTTTACTGTGTCACATAATTCTGTCCTACGTGGCAATACTATGCCCAATTTCATGCCGGTGAATTTTTTTTTTCAGTTATAAAAGGAGTAATTTTTCTTTCCCCTTTCCACAACTCATTCAAACAACTGTTTTAATCATATAAAAATATGAAATTTACTGGACCCATCTTGAATTTATTTTCTCCTAATGAAGAACTAGCAGATTATATCTAAGTATAATTTAACTGAAAACACTACTTTAATTGCAAATTTATTTTAATGATATGTACAGGAATTAACAAGTTACAATTAAAATGGAATCAGTTACGCTAATTCCACATAACTTAAAATCATGCAACACTGCATGGTAAAAACAACAGTTTTGTTCATATACAAAAGAACACTGTCTTGAGACTTATGATAGAGTATACTGAGTTTTTTGACAAGCATTTTGCAGAGTATTTTATAAAAATTTAAAGACCTGATTAGTTAATACATTATTAGGAAAGATAATAAACATTATTAGTAAAGTGAGGATACAAGCAATTTCAAAATTACGCCATGTAAAGGGTTGAATGTAGTTTCATGAAATAAATGCTTAGATAAGAAAATAGTTTCGAAAAAGATCTTATATTGAAGCTATGTATTAATTTTGTCAAATCAGGTTATATAAATCAATAGTCAAGTTTATTCAGTTAAAGAAAATATGCCTGTCCTTCCTTATACTCATAAATAAGTACTTACACAGTCTTTACATACAAGAGAAGTTCAATGTAAAAAATACACTGCCAATCCGCTTACTATGGTTGAAACAGCTCTTTACACATTAAATTGCATTGATGAAAATGTCCAATTTAAACCACATTCAACCAGCATAAATATTTAAGCTGAGTACTGTTGTAAACAATGGAGAAAAACAGATTCTTTTATTTTGTTACTGGGTAGCAATCTACTTCTCCGCTTAGGATGCCATAGCAAGGCTTACCATTTCATTTAATCAAATCCAAACCCACTAAACTTTGAGTAAACAAAGTGAATGTTTTCAAAGTGCATAATTTCCAACTCATCCACTTGTAATATTTATCCAATTCCAGTTCACCAGCAAGAAAATAAAATGTACTCGGCTATAAAAATACTAAGGAATGTTATTGAAAAAGAAAGGCTATTTGGTAGAAGTAACTACAAAAATAATTAGTGTAAATCTTTGTAAAGCTTTAATGCAATAACATCAGTACACTTTCTTCCCATAAACTTTAAAGCATGATCATTACCAAGATTTTAAATTTCCATCTTTCAAGTACAGGAAAAAAGTTGCCACCAAGTGTCTCTTCAAAAATTAAACAATAAGAAGGATCATGCAGGTGTTAATCTGCTAACACTGGGGGTAACTGGGATCTGTGGGGGGCTGTCATCTCTGGCTCCACTGGCAGCACGCGCAGGCAAGGAGGTGCTCTGAAATGCAGACGGGGGGCAACTAGCCCCGCCAACATTCTCGTCTTCGCCGATGTCCGAATCTGGAGTTGTGACTTCATTGCTCTGAAGCCCCAGGATCTCACAAACTGCTTGTGGCAATTCCTGAATATGAAATATCAAACACAGAACCATTACTCACTACAGAAGGAAATTAACCACAAAGCAACACTTCTAATGCAGACTATACTGACTCCAGAATCCAAACATTTGTTCTAACAGTGTAATTGTTACTACACTCTCAAACCTTCCTTCTCCACTCCAAATGAAATCCTAACCACTTTTTTCACTAAGTCATTCCCTGATCTTCTATTTTGAATGTATTACTCTCCACCCCCCTACCACTCCTACAAACATATAGTTTACTAATATTTAGCATTTATTTAGTTCTAATTATTTTTACAATGTCTTACTTACAGAGTCCTTTCCCCTCAATAAACAAAGGTTCCTTAAAAATAAGAAGGTATTACTGACATGTTTTGAACAGAATAGCTACCAAATAAGTGTTTATAAAACTGAACCAAAGTAAGTATTTGGAACCATGAACAAATGACACAAAGACCATTGCTTAGTTAAATTCCACAGCCTCATGGTTACAGAAATGTTTTCATTACTTTTGCCATTGTGCCTAGCATAATTAATCAACTTTTCAATTATGTGCTATAAATCTATGATAAACAAAATGCTAGCCAATACTTTGTGTCTGCCTTCAACTTGCTAAAGCTGCCATTTATATTACTTCTAAGAAAAATTCTTTCCTGACCTCAAACCACCAAAAACACACAAAAAATCTTGCAGTTATTTAAAATACTGTATGTATACCTTGCATTTTACCATCTGTAGAGAAATTGCTTCTGCCTTGCATAGTATATCTTCCACATCAATTTTCATGGATAATTCATTGATATGCTAAAATGAATCAATAAAGTTAAATGATAATCAAAATTAAAAGCACTATTATGTTCTACTATATAATTTATTGTTATATTTCACTGCAAATAAAATCCTTAAAATAAAAATATTCCCATACTACAAATAAACAGAAAATTCAATATATCTTTCCTTAGCCCCTCTTAGATCGCTTCATGTTTTAAAGCTAAAAAATAAGCTTAAGGAACATTAAATCTAGCAGCTATCTCAAGTCTACCATCTCAAAGTTATAAGCAAAATACAATTTCTTTAGAAAACTAAACTGCATATAAAGCATTTGTTGAATTTTTTTCCCTAATGAGCCAGGGAAAACCAAGTGGCCAACGTGTATTTGGTGAGCTGCCGTTCTCAGTCAGGCCTCGTACTGCTACTGACACAGCTGAAGTTATTACTCGAGGGACTCAATAATGCTCCCAGAAAATGTTCTGTGTATCAGTACAACCAAACAGACAAAAGAGCTAAGTTATTAAAGTCTAAATTAAAGGAATAATAACCTTAAGTATTTCATTAAAGCCATAACGCTTTTCCATTATTTGCTGCTTTTCAGATTCCAGAATAGCACAACAGAGAAGAAGATGGAAATTTTTACATGGTAGTTCAGTCCACATTACCTATAAAACAAAAAAATCAACTATTAAAATATGTGAATTCTACAATATTTTCCTCATATACACAATGTTGAACTCTAAATGACTTCTATGCAAAGCAGAAGTTGACTAGATTGGTAGATCCACCGGTTTTCTAGTTAGCAAATGAGGTTACCTACGAAGTAACTAATGTCAAGCTTAACAATGCATGAATGTGATGAATTCCAAATGCGGCTCTTCGGGTAACTACAATAAACAAATCACTGACTCTAACCAATATGATAAATGCCATTAATTAAGGAACCACAGCAATGAGGTTAAGTTTAAGATGTCAGGGTTAGAGGCATTTTCAATATTTTTCTAAACTTTCAATTTTCTCACTTTTAAATCACCCTCAGTCCTTTAAAAAGAAGAAGAAAGCTAAATCCTATAAATAAAAAAAGATTCAGTTACATAGTACATAGAATAAAAATCACCCAGAGGTAACTCTATACTTTTAAACATCATTTTATATTTACTTTCTTATTTAATTATTTCTTTAGGGCAAGGGGAAGAGAGCGAGAGAAAGAGAGGAAGAGTATCATCGATGTGAGAGAGAAACACCCACTGGTTACCACTCGTACAAGCCCCAACCAGGGACCAAACCTGCACCCAGGCATGAGCCCCAAAAAGGAGTCAAACCAGCAACCCTTTGCTTTGCGGGATGATGCCCAAACAACTAAGCCACACAGGTCCAAGCCTAAACCTCGTATTAGAAAAGTCAGAGTATCCCTGATTATGATAAAATGTGAACCAACTACCCAAAATTTATACCCAAATGCATGAAATGTCTGATCAACAGCTGCACTTCTTCTAACTAAGCAAAGCCTCCAAATTGAAGGCCTCAACTTTTTCCTGGTTGACAGACTAACCAACTGCTGGACCCACATAACCACAGTGTTAAAGCCTGAATGAAACGTTTTTACTTTCTCTTATCAGGAGTAAATAAAGTTGTATAATTTTCAGACTAACCCAATTTTTAAATGTTTAAATGAAATTTAATTAACCTCCAACTGGGAAACACAGATAATGGAATTATTCTAGTTATATGGTAATAATTTTCTCAATTCATCCTTTTAAAAAAGTTACTGATTTGACAAAAATCTATAAACTTAAAAAAATTCCAGGTAAAAAACATGTGAGTTTTCCGTTAAACTCTTGTTTCCTCATCTGGAAAATGTAGAGTATAAAATTATCTTTCCATTTCAAGGACTGTAACATGTGGATGTTACCTACTATCAAACAGAGGAAGCGATGATCCTTCAGCACACACACTCCTCCAGGGATAACATAGTTACCGTAAGTATAGGAAACAATTTCCAGCCATAAAAGCCTCAGAGGACACTGGGGTTGTTTCTACTGCATATGAATCTATTTATCCAAATGAATTCTCTTCCCTATCCTTTCCTTGGGAAAATTTCTGTAATCTCTTATTTTTATAAAGAAAACATAGCTACCAGTCATTACACCAATATTCTATTTTGATATTAGCAGATATTTGTAAAGAAAATAATGATTTTCTGGTTTTCATCGAATCGTCCTGGATACCACATGGAATGAAAGTATACACACCAAAAACATGATCTTGAATATCCCCTAGATTCGAGGAGAGGGAAATGGGACTTGGGTGGTGATTAAAGAAGTTACTGATGATTCAGTATTTTTTCTTGGGGATAAGAAAGAAAAAAAGACATAAATATGGCAAAATGTTAAATACGGATGATAGTAGGTATGCTATATTATTCTATCTTGCTCTAACTTAAATTTCTTCTACAAAGCAAAACACACATCAGCTCTATCCCAATACCTGACACTACAAACAAATAAAGTGCCACTTCAACGGACTGACCTGTCAAACTCTACACAATCAATACCAGAATGGGGCAAGTCTCCCTAGGAAAGAACAGATGCAAATGGTCTAGAGAACTGGTTCTAGGCAACCAAATGGCCCCAAATCTCTGATAAGAATTATGGTTTCCAGAAAAAGGCTCCAAAGACCAGATACTCAGTTCAAGATCAGTAATTTTAATTTTTAATAATTTTATTTATTTATTAAAGAGAGGGGAAGGGAGGGAGAAAGAGGAGCAGAAAAACATCAATGTGTGGTTACTTCTCACGTGAACCCCACTGGGGACCCATACTGCAACCCAGGCATGTGCCCTGACTGGGAATCGAACCAGTGACCCTTTGGTTTGTAGGCTGGCACTCAATCCACTGTGCTACGCCAGCCAAGGCAAGATTATTAATTTTTAAGGAAGAGATAACAAACTAGCAGAATTTTGAACATACTTGCTTTAGAAATTTCAGTTAGACTACTACAATCCATTTATAGTCTACAGAATAGATGTTTTCCATAATCAATATTACATTTGAACAATTTAAGAACTTACCTCCCATAATCGAAGAATATCTAGAAAACTAAATTCCCTTTTAAATCTGATTAAAAGCCATCTGAAGCAAAAATAAAGGTATCCAGAGTCCTGAGATTCTACACAGAAGAAAAAATATATATATGGCTTACTCTTATGCTAATTATCTCAGAATACAGTGACCTATTCAAACTCAAACTTTTCTATGCATCTTAGGCTATTAAAAGCCCTACACAGTTAACTGTCTTGTCATTCAAGGAAACAATTCAAATTTGCAGACTAACTTCTTTAAAAGAAAACAACCAAATTACAACAAATAATTCATTTTATAAATAAACTGTTTTAAGACATAATTACACAAAGATAATTTGGTCCCACACTTTTATTCCTCAGAGGAACCCGGGCAAAAGCAGTAGAGTATGTATGTCTTTAAAAGAATCCCTTACATTTTGTCTGTGCACTACCCTGCACTTTGCTGGATATACCTCTGCTGCAGTAACCTTACCTAAGTAATTGCAAAATCCACTGTCCAACAAGCGAAGTAAGGTACTTAGTTGAATTAGCTGGGTCTTCATGCCTTGCATTTGTTCTTCAAAATTTTGATGCTTCATAGAAGAAAATGGATGTTACCACATGAGTAATATTTAGTAAATATTTTATAGTACATAATAACTAAGCCATGAGTCTAAAAACAAATGTTGGACTAACATCACACTGGTTATATTTTTTAAAATCACAACAAATTAAAAAGCTAAAAGGAACATTAAAAAGGAGGGAAAGAGAATCCTAAGAAATACTTTGTTACTCTTTAGTAACAAAAATTTTACTCAATTGATTTACTCATATACTCCCTCTACTCATTTGATTTAGATAGAGAATTTGATTTAGAGAGATTCTGCAGTAACAGCAACTGCAGAATGACCGATATACTTATTTCTGACAAAGAATAAGAGATTTGGTGAAAGAAACACACATTTGCGGAATAAGCTTTTATTAACTCACTTCCACCTTGTTAAATATTTCTTCAAATTATCACATGACATAAAACTTCAGCTTTAACATGTATCTCATTTTAAAGAGTTGACTATTTTTATATTTAATGACAGAGAAATCTATGTCAAAACCATCTTCATGACAATACTTGTTATACGCAGCTTGCAATTTAATATCTCCCACATGTGTGAAGGCCACATAATGTGTACTGATCAATGCCAAAGATAACCCAGAAGTAGATATGAAAATCCCACTGTCTTCTACTAAAATAGACACTAAAGAAAATGGAAATGTAAAACCATCTCTCTTCTCAGTAAATTTGTTTTTATTTTTAAAAACTTCCCATTTAAAAACGTTATATATGTTAAGGTATAATAGGTTTACTGTTCCTTTTAAATGAATAAGTATTTATAATTTTCTGAGTACTAATTTGTTCATATGACAAACACCAGTAAACATAACCCACATGAACAAATGCTCTTGTGGTCCTCAACATTTAAGAGTGTGAAGGGCTCCTGAGATCAAAGTTGAAGAACTACTGTGGTTTACATGCTTTCAAAAATCTTTAAAGTTGAGTAGATTCCCTACTAACACTTCAGTCAAAGGAGGGGACAACAAAATAAATAAAAGGTTTCTCAGACGATTCTGATCCCTTTAAAATGTGCCTGGACCCCTCCATGGTGACCTCTGCCCTGACCCTGTGCAAAGCCTGAGTGAGGAGCATCCCCTCTCACACTTCCTAGTTTTCGAGACAAGAGCAGTGCTGTGACTGGAGTGCATATCAGAGAAACCACCCACTCTTGGTCAAAACAAAAAAATTTAGAGGCTATTGACTCTCTATAAATAGGTTTCTCTGTAATGACTTAGAAAGAATAGTTTAGCAGACTAACATAAGCCTTTGAGATACCATTTCTTCACATTTACCACATGGACCCATACAGGAAAGGCAGGACTGACTCTCTGATTTAATAGCATGAGTTTTGTTACAGCCCAGCCAAAGTCTAGTTGGTTTGTGTGTACCAACATGGCACAGCTGCTGCTGACCACTCAGGCATAAAAAGAAGCACTCCCAAAATGACAGAAGCCAACTTTGAAAGTAGCTATTCCTGGAGAAGAAGAAATAAGATCCACATGGATATACAAAGGGCTTCAACTGTATCTATAGGTAAATGTTTGCACACATATAAATATAATGGATATATACATATACACATGCATATACATTATACGGGGGTACGGAGTGAGGAAAAGAACAGGAGGGACTAAACTTTATGGCAAAATGAATAGTGGGTATAAGAGAGTACATTAGATTGTTTTGCAAATGTTTCCATAATTTTCTGTAACAAAGTCTATGCCTAGAAAAACATTAGATGTGAGAAAATATAGACAAAAGTAAATCTACACATATTAGGATCAGCCACCACAATAAGAAATAAAATCTTACATGAAATAAAGCTGTAAAACAAAATGGAGTTGAACAGCAGCAACACCAACTTAGGACACTAAACAACAGCAATACAGTAAAAAATAGTCGTGCAAGTTATTTTGTTTCTAACATATTGCCCTTTCTTTCAAATTTTATGAGAAGGGGATGTCAGTAGACAATAGATTGAGATCTTTTTAGAATAAAGCCTAGAAAAATCCCCAGACCATCCTCAGTGAAAAAGGCAAACACAGAGAACATTTACTGTGATAGACAAAAGAACTTGAACTTTCAGACACAAAAAAAATGACAGAGAGACTGGAAGTGTGTATTACAGATGTTCAGAAAGTCATCTTTACATTTGAGACCTAAATACATGCACATGTATGTATGCAATTGGTATTATAAGCCAATATATTTGAACATGCCAGTTATTTCTTCAGTTTTATGAAAACTACTATTATAAAAAACTAAACACAGTATGTTCATGTCAATTGTTTTGGAGTATCTACTACAGAGCTCTAAACTAAGTACTGGGGAAATATTCATGTGTTTATTCTACAAAAATCTGTTGAATAAAAACCTCCTATCAGACATTAGGAAAACTCTGGAAGCATACCAGTGAACAGTTAAGAAAAGACATGTACCCTTTATCTAGGAATGTATTAGCTGTAGTGAAAAGAGGGTAAACAACACAAACACAAGGAAGGCAGAGCAGAGTTTTTATACAATTACTATCAGTTGTACAGACCTCTGTTAATAAATGCCTCTGGTTTCTAGAGCACTTGGGAGTAACTGGAACTAAGAAGGCAGGCAAAATCAATCAATTCAAAAGGTCAGGAAGACAAACTATGATATTACTAGATTACTGCAAATTAATAACCTTTCCAAATAATCCAAAAATATTAGTCTGTGGGAAAGAACTACATAATCTGAATGTTTATCAATTTAGTATTTTTAAGCCATCAAATCTTATCATGCATGTGGAAAAGCAGTGAGAAAGTGAGGATGAGTTGGAACCATGGATGAGACGTGAGGAAAGACAAAAGTGGGAAAAACTGCAGGGGAAGAAAAACTGGCAAGCAAGCGGGGAAGAACAGAAGTTATCAAAAAGGAGAAGGGTACCACTTTCAAATTCCACATTTGTGTCCCAGAAACTAAGTAAAAACCTGTATTACAGGGAAACATTTTAAATGATTACATATTCAAAATCTTTAACCCCTTGCAAGCAAATCATTTCAATATCTGACATCAAGGCTCACCACGAAGCATATTAATCTTATCTGAAACAGTACAGTGACCTATGCAGTTGAATCTTTGGATTTCACAGGCTTTATCACTCTTAGACCCTCTGCTTTTTTTTTTTAAAGATAATCTGAGAAGACTGTTCTATTTTATTTTCTTGTCATACAGTCTCTGTACTATTGTCCTAGAACTCTACTGCAAGATATACCAATGATAATAGATAAAATGTTCTTTGTAATAATATGTATACATAGAGTTCGACTCTAATAACCACATGCTTCTGAGAAAATAAGAGTAAATTACTAAGAGTTCACTGTCAGTGCTACCAACAGTTCAAATGCATCTGGAGAAAAATCAGTGACAAAATCCAAAATGTTCACAAAAGGTAAGGATATTACTTGGTATGACTAAGCTTTATCTCTGAAACAGATATGAAAGTTCAACTACTTCACAAAAACAGAATTAATCTATTTCATCAATATTCTGTAATGACTCACGGCAATTTACTAATATTAAAACCCAATTGTTCTTGTACTATGGGTACTTTTTCTATCTACTTTTTGATTTAAAAATAATGCCAGCATTTCCAAGCCTCTTGAAAAGGCTATTTAAGAAAAAAACAAACAACACGAAGCAATTTTCTAAAGCTCCATCCTAACTGGCTAAATATAAGCATCAATCTTATATAATAAGATTATACAACTTAAATTTTCAAATTAGTTTTTATTAAAGGAAGGAACCTCATTCTTACCATTTGGTCCATATAGGAGGCAAAGCACCAAAAGGCATCCACCTCATTTTCCATCACAAATAAAAGAGGGGAAAGTAAGTCACTCATTCCTTGCACATATCCTAGGAAGAAAAAAAAACCATGTCTCTGAAAACCTAAGCTTTATATATCCTTCTATGCATGTCACCACCATTTCACATAAAATTTCATCTTTTCTTTGGTTCAGAAATTGGTAGATATGATGTTCATCAAGAAAAGAAAATAAACAAGGAGGAAGTTCAGCAATCAGGTAAGAAAGATGAGTTGTTTTAGACTGAGATGTCAAGCAGATCAACACCTTCCAGTAGATGTCTTAGTGTAGCTATCACTGCCAAAGTGGGTAAGATCATCAATATTATTATGTTTATCGTCACCCAAAGACATTTTCTTTCATTGTTTTCAGAGGAAGGGGATGGAGAAAGAGGGAAACACTGACATGAAAGAGACACACTGACTAGTTGTCTTCTCCTATACACCCCAACGAGGGCTCAAACCCGCAACCTGCATATGTGCCCTAGCCAGGAATCAAACCCGCAACCCTTTGGTCTACAGGACAACACTCCAACCAAGTCACACTGGCCAGGAAGAGTGGGAAATGTTGTTAAAAAATAATGTGCACAAGCATTATGAGAAAGAAGAGAGGTGGAGAGAAAAGTCATGAGAAACATCAAATTTAAGAGTACATATTCAAAAGATTAAATAGTCAAAGGGACACGAAATCAAGGGAGAAGCTTTTTGTAAAGTCAAGGGGATGAAAGCTGCCAGGCCAGAGTAGTGAACAGTGCCAAGTTGCCTTGAATGAGCCAAGTAAACTAAACACTAAGAAGGATCCAACTGCTTTAGCAACCAGATCACTGGTAATCTAAATAAAAGGAGTCACAAAATTATGTACCTCTTTTAAACAGTCGAGTCTATGTCTTCTTTCTTTTCTTGTTATTCTATACCCACCAACAATGCTAGCAACTGAGTTTCACACAATCAATATGTTGTGCCTAAGACTACTATTTTAACCGCCTTTCTCTCAGTACTATTACAATTCCAGTCCTGGCACTAATTACAACCCTTACGTAAAAGAAAAAATGGAAAATTAAGAGTCAGGCAGCCCCCTTACTTAAACAGGACCAAAAAGTCTTTTTTGTACTTTTCACCTGAACATGTCAAGCATCCTATTTTTTAGCTCAAACTTATAAAACCCTCATTTTCTTAAGTGTTTTACAATTAGATTTTAGATAAGACATAAGATACTTGAAACAACAAAGGGACAAGAGCTTATGCTAACCCTTCTCGCATACATACTATCAACTTTGGTAAGTTTTGTACATTTGTCGAAGTTACATGGAGATTTTTTTCCAGTGGCAGCTTCGGAAAACTGTGGAAATCAGTCTTTCATGTGCATATACAAAGCTTACGTTTTTATCATTCATCAAAATCTATGTGTATTGAAGCCATTTAAAGAGCATGTATTTTTAAAAGGAAGAGGGTATTTCTGCTAGAAATGATATACAACTCTGCATCACTCTTCCTGTTTTGGATGAAAACGTCAACCAAAAAATGACCTAGGAAGTATATAAGCCAAAGTCTCTTGAAAAATCTCAGATTAAATGTATAACAGAAAGGCACTCAGGGTCACTTTTGGATCTCCTTACAAATAAACATTTAGCTCCATCTGCTCTGAGCCTCTGCCCTATCAACTACTGCACAGGTGGCAAACACAAGGCCCATGGGCCAAATCCGACCTTCCACCTGGTTTCTACCCAGCAACAGTGCCAAGCTCCTTGCCCCTAATTAAGGAGTAGTTACACTTATACAGTCCTAAACTTACTTTTGGCCCTTTGAAGGCAACTGTGAGGTTGATGTGGCCCCCAGTGAAAAGGAGTTTGACACCCCTGATCTACTGACATTGCCTAGTCTTATCAACCTATGTCTACACTATACCCAGTGGAAAAGTATATTGCTCTACTCACTTCAGCACAAAAGAACACTTGGGTTCCCAGGGTGGGCATCTGATTACTACAGTATCAAACAGACAATGCAGTTACCAAGACATTTCGAGAAAAGCACCAAAAAAATGTCATGTGACATCATACCTAAATGTAAACATTTCTACATACTTTTGCAGATGCTTTTTAAAATAATGCACAGTTGTAGTGACTAATTTTGTGTCAGCCTGAGTGCGCCGCAGGAGGACCAGATGTCTTGGTAAACATTATTTCTGGGAATGTCTATGAAGGTGTTTCTAGAGGAGATTAGCATTTGAATTGGAAAAATGATTAAAGCAGATGGCCCTCTCCAATGTCGGTGGACATAAGCAAAACCACTGAGAGAGCGTAAGCAGAATAAAAAGATGGAAGGAGGCTGAATCTGCTCTCACTGGTTGCTTGAGCTGGAACATCGATCTTCTGCTGCCCACAGTGTTCCTGGTTATCATCAGACTTGGACTGACATCTATACCGCTGCTCCTCCGCTCTCAGTTCTTCAAACTACACCACCAGCTTTCCTAGGTCTCCAGCTTGCAGAGTGCAAATTGTCAGGGCTTCTTTTTCTTTTCTCTTTTTCTGGTGTGTGTGTGTACATGCACGTGTATACATATAATCCTAACAGTTGTTTCTCTGGCAAACCCTGACTATTAGAAGGAAAGAATAAGTAGTTTGGAAGAAAGACTAAATTGTTATCATCAAATGGCCCTAACGGAGTGAAAGCAATGACAAATATAAAGATTAAATGAATTAAAGCATGAAAGAAATCTGATATGAATTCAACAAAGTGTAAAAGATTACTACTTGACTGACTCTGACTGACTGCATATGGTCTACAATAGAAATATTTCAAAGTGTGCTATTCAAAAAATGTACAAAGCACTTTTCCTCAGGAAAAAAATGTGCTTTATTACAAAGGTATAATTAATAAAAATTTATGAGAAGCTAATTTAAGCCTGAGAATTCAGCTTTCGTAAGGCATCACTACCATATTTCTTCTCCAAGTCTTAGCTAAAGCAAGTAGTCAAATTAATCTTTGTATTCTAGTTGCTTTTAATCTATTTTATTTTATACATGATGTTCGTTGGAGTATGTCATGGGTTGCCAGGGTGGAATTAATGTACAAATTCCTTTTAATTAAAGAAAGATTAAAGTTGTTTAAATTAGCATTCAGTGCCACTCAGAATCTGCACTAGGGCTGATGCACATCTTAATCAGCACTACCACAACTTCTGAAGTAGTTCCCTAAACTTATTTTCACAGCAAATTTGTTTCAGTGGAGAGGTGTGAGAAATGACCTCCTTACCACCCTAGGGTACACTCTCACACTGATAAGGAAAATTTCATCTACATGTAGCTCATTTTTCCAGGTTAACTGAACCTTAAACCCTTAAAGTATCAAATTATAAAAAATCTTAGCAGTTTGAAATCATTGTTTTTACATTAGACACTCCCTGCCTTCTTATACACAGTACTTTAAGTATAATTTCACTTTTTGTTGGTTATTCAGAACCATCATTATGAACATACACTGCAAAAAAGATACCTCCCACAGACAAATCTGGGTGTGGGGTCTTTGAACTAACTAAAAATTGTTCCTCCTTGAGTTCTTCTTTCACTTTTGGTAATTTTTATCTTCTGTCTGCTTTTGATTTTTGGCTCCTTCCTCACTAGTAATGAGATTATATTCAATATAAATATACCTGTATCTACTTAATCTATGGCCTAAGAATGTAAACAACTGAATATGGCAGAATCGCCTATAAGAGTAAACTTATAGCCCAAGGTCCTTTGCTATGAGTAAAAGGCAAGAAATTTGGTCCACTGCTTTATGCAAACTACCTTGGCTTCTTACAAGGCCAAAGTTCTTAATGGGAACCTTGACTGTGTTTCAGATAACTTAAGCATTTGACTAGAAAGAATGTGGAGTTAACAGAAACAAATTAAAACAGTAATTTGTCCAGTTAGCTGATCTGGACCTACGCCCTGAAACAACCTGAGCATTCAGAAACTCCTGCTGAGGCTATGAATGAACTCCCACCTCAAGAAGACAACCTGAGAGTTCAGGGCAACACTCCTTGCTTCCTAGGATGACGGTTGTTCTAGTCCCTCCAGTGGCAATAGAAACCAAAATGGCAAAGACCTGGGGTGCTGAGTGTATACTGGCAAGACTGCCAGCCTGAAAGACCTGGGTCTCCACCCCTCGGTCCAATATTTACTACTTGAGCAACCTTCAATCATTCTCTGAATCAATGTAACCTCATTCATAAAGTAGGCATTATTTCTCCACTTCTTCAAAAGGCTGCTATTAGAATCCAAATCAAGTACGGCAGCACTCTATAACCTGAAAAGCACTCTACCAATGTTTTCAATGATCCAATCTGAGACTCATTATAGGTATGATAAATAGGCCTGGCCAAATTTTAAAGAGAAACCTGTGGTTTTCAACTTCTGTCACCAAAGGGGCTAATGCCTTAAGATCCACAACAGAGTCTGTATCTTCCCTAACTTACATATAAGAAGCCAAGAGGAAGTCACATAGATACAAATGGTGAAGAAAATGTATTCATAATTCAAGGTTCATTTGGGTTTAATAGGCAGAACATCCAATTACCTTCTCCCAAGATGTCTCTAGCTATAGTAAAGTAATCTGGACAACACTTATTTCCACTATCCTCTACTTGAGAGTCACTCACACATGGTAGGTGACTCAGAAATTTCCCACTGCTTATACTTGTTTAAAGATTTATGCTTAGGGGATTTGTTGGTCCTTTAAAGAAACAGTTCGAGTTCTCTTGTCCCTTAAAATACTGATTCCTTAGGTTTTCTATCCCTTCGCATCTTTTCCCCATGCAATCCCCAACTCTCACTTCCAGTCCCAGTCTTTCCAACTCATTCTTGGTAGGGAACAGACTTACCAAGAAAAGAAAAGAAAGTTCTACATGCCCTATATAATCATCTGCACTGTCTAACATACCAAATCAGTATTTTCTTTAACAAGGGAGAACACTTATCAAAGATTCCAAAACATTCTCACTTCACAGAATCCTTAATGTCTCAGTAAATTTTTCCGAGGGACCCCTAGATTCAAAAAAACAATTAACTATTGGATTAACTATTTGGATCTAATTAAGTATTTAGATCCAAGTAACTTAAGTTTCTATGTCCTGTCCTATGAACTTAGCACCTGTTGAGCACTACAGTACTTCTCAAACCTTGAAATCCAACTGTGTACTACCATCCTCATTTCTGTTCCTCATCCACTTTTCACCAGTGCTTGCTTATTATCAAAGCAAAGCTAAAAATAGTGTTTTGCAAAGATACAACGTCATCAGCAAGAATGTGGTGATCTAATGTTGAAATCCTAAACTGTTTCAGCTAGTAGTTACAGCTCAAGATATTACTATATTTCCCTCAAAAATTTAAAACAGCCCACGCTGTCCCCATGACTTTACTATGACAACACAGTGCCCCTCAGTGTACAATCTGGGAACCATAGCCTTATAAATTCCCAGTGCCCTGTAGAAAAGTTCCTATAAAACCTAGGCCACAGAGCTATTACATTATGTATGTCTTACAGGTTAATAAATTGAAATTCTAAAATAAATATAAATTAAATCTTTTAAAATTAAGAGTATTAGAAGAGAACTTACCTAAATCAAAGTCATACATACAGTAGGTCATCAAAATGTCATGAAGCAAAATCAGCCCTGGATTATCTTGGCCTTCATAAAACTTGTTTGTTCGATCTGTTCTGTTAACATCTTTTTCTGAGGAGAAAAATCATCACATATTTGAAAACCTTTCAAAAATAGATTTTTATAAAGCTCGCATCTTATAAGTATAGGTTTATTTTCCTTGCTATTAATTTTACTCTCTCACCAATCCTTTACTTAATGAAAATAATTCATCAAATTTCATTTCAGATATGCGACAAAAGTAGCATTTTGGAATACTTTTCAAAAATTAGTCTACCTCCTCATGGGTATATTTTTAAATGTACTTCAGTTTTTATCTCAACAAAGAAATCCTTTAACTGAATAACTGGCAATACTTCCCACTAATTAAAAGCAATACTAAGTAATAATTCACATTAGTTAGCAATAAAAGTGCCAGTCATGAATGCTTGTGATTAGGTAATATTATTTGAAAACGGTAATGAAAAAAGCTACTATACAATCAAATATAATCAAAGAGATTTGTTTCACTCATATTTGCTTCATTCGTTATGAGAAGTATTATCAATTTCTTTGTTGTGTTCCATAATCACCTTCAGTACAAATTATTTCCTTTTCCTCATATATACATTATTCAGTTTATACATTAGTATAAGCAATTCATTTTAATTTTAAAAAAATGAAAACCTACATTTTGCTGAAAACAATTTCATGATATTAAAAAGAGATTTGACAATATCACTACAAGAGTATCCCAAGTTATACAGGCAATTCAATTTACAAACCCTGATACCTATTAAATGTATCTTGGAAAGACTTTACAACTAAAAAAAAAAGGCATTCCTCTAAATTAAATCCCTCAGTAAATTAGAATTTTTTAACTTAAATGATTAATTTACTCTATAACCAATTCTGTTTAAAAATTATAAATGACTTCCACTCCCCCTTAAACTGAATAATTTGAAAACATTCTCAACATTTGTGGCAAGATGGGAAGGTAGATGACTTAAGCTTAGGTTCCGTAAGAACATTTAAAAAATTTATTAGAACAATATTCTAGCTTTCTGTTAAAATATACTACATTAGATTTAATAAAAGGAAGTATATATCTACAGAATTGTGAATATATCTTTCAAACTAGTGATGAAAAGCAATACCAGAAAAACCATGCTATAAATGCAAAATATCATTTAAAAATGTCGAAATGTTTGTTTCGTATCAGTTAATAAAGAAGTACATAAAAGGTTTTTTTGTTAATTCAAACACAACTTACAGTCATAATGCCAATCCAGATTATCTGACTTAATAGGTGTATTAAACACAGTAAAGTTATTTGTGCCCTCACGATCTACTTTTCTCCTCTTTTATATTTCTGCCAAGCAGAAAACAAAAAGGGAACAGAAACACTATTTTACAACAGATGTATTTCTAGAAACTATTTCTAGAAAAAAAAAGGAGTACTCAAGTTAAAAAAAGTAAAACTCTCATTAAAACCCAACTCTCCATCTAACTTGATGTAGCTAAAAAGCTGAAGAAAAACATAACCATGCCAACTAATCCCGCCTTGCATTCACCACCAACCCTTTTTATCCATTCCCTCTGCATATTCATGTAACTATTTTATAACTTCTCTCTCCTCAAGCCTCCAACACATGATCTTGTCCAATGTCTGTTTCTTCTCTAACCTCATCAGTTTCCATACTGGACCCAACTTACTCCAGCCACATATCTCTGCTGTACTTCAAATATGCAGAGACCCCGGGATAGAAATAAGTGTAACACATGTTTCTTTCTGCTCGGAATGCCCTTTACCTAGATATCTACGAAGCTCACCAATCCCCCTTTTCGAGTTTCTACTCAAATACCACCTTTTCAAGAATGACCTTCTCTGGTTGCCGAAGTAAAAACAACAACACAACACATAAATTTCCTAAACACTTTCCCTGCTTTATTTTTCTCTTAAGCACTTATCACTAACATACCACATATGAGGGAGGACCCCAAAAAACATAATTTATTTATTAAAAATTGTGAGGGAGGAATAGAGCAAACAGACAACAGTACCCCAGCATATATGAAAATAAGAGATCAGAAATTGTACTGGACACTGAAAAACCAGAAGGTAAGGAGACTACTCCAGGACAATAAAGTCCCAGAGACCAGCACGGAGACATAGCTGCAGCCCTGGCCCGGCGCCCAGTACTGGGTCTACCACGGACTCTTTGGGAGCTGCGGGCCTGCCATAGAGTCCTTGGGAAAGAGGTCCGGGTCAACTGCTCCCTCCCTCCCTGGCCAAGCAAGGTTTGAGCAGCACCAGGAGACCTTGTTGCTTGAAGTTGCAGGGTGGGGAATAAGGATAAAGAGGCAAACACACAAGGGACGTGATCACCTGTGGAGTCTGTGGTCACCAGCTTGGGAGAGTTGAGAGACCCACGGTGACGAGCACTGACCTGGATAATCACCAGTCTGGCTGGAGAATTGGGATGTACTGAGCAGCAGGCTTGAGTGGGAGGAATTTCTCAAAAAGTAAATCTGTTTGGGGGATTCTCTTGCAACAGCTGCTCTGCTTACTCCGCACCCAGTCAGGCAGCAATCCGAAGGTTGCACGGAAATCCCTGAGTTTCCCCATAGCACTGGTTAGGGTTTACGCCCAAGCCCCCAGGACCCAGGCAGTCTGGACGACACACGTACCCACCTGCACCCCAGCCCACGGCAATGACCCCCAGGGAAAGAGCACTCTAAAGAAGACCAGTATCCCCTGCCTGGGGGCCTGGGGAGAGGTGCCAGACTAGCTCTTGGGAGAGTGCTTGCAGGACTGACTGAGTACACAAGAAAGGCCACACCAATCACCCCTCAGCCTGCTGCAGACAGCAAGACCAGAAAAACCGGTTTGGCAGTTTGAAACCAGTAAGAGGTGTTTTGGGGTGGTTTTTTTTTTAATACCCACAAGTGAGACAAAAAACTTGGAACTGTGTAAGGACCACACCTGAACCCAAAGAGAGGGCATCCCAACAGCTGAGACACCGAGACAAGTCTCACTTTGTTATTGCAAAGAAACAAGATACTGCATATTTGTGTTATTGTAGTTTTTCATTATTCTTACATCTTTTATTTTAATAGTATTTTTGTACTCCTTTCTGTATAGTCTTCTGAGCTTGGCTCATTATATCACTAAACAGGTTTCCCCGTTCTCTCTTCCACAGTGTATTGCTAATTTACTATCCTTCACGCACACTACTCAAAGTTCTATACCACCTATTTATGATACCCAGATCACATAGATTATGTCAGATGATTGCTGCTCTAATATTATTGTAAATAATAGCTGCTCCATACTTATAAATACATCACATCACCCCTACCAGATCTCAGCCCACTTCAGTTAACTGAATTCTGTTACTGTAGTGATTAGCTCTATTCTCTCACACACTACACCTATTTACTATCCTTTACTCTCAATTTACCTCAGAATCTGACCTCCCCCCACCTCACTGCTTCCTAAATCCAACTCACAATCCTTCCCTCCCCAACAACAGTCTTATCTTCTTTCCATCCTTTCTTAAAAGTGGCTAGTTGGGTTGAAGATCATATTTAACACTATACATAGCCAAAGGATCTCCTATCTGTTCTCTACAGCTGCTACAGTAAATATCATAGAATACTCTCCTGCTGTCATAAACCATTGTGGCTTCCCCACCAACTGATCACAAAAAAGAGTAGGTAGAAGCGGTGAACACCAGTATACCCAAAGGACAGGAAACCCAACAACACAGGAACCACCAACAGATAACAGAAGGTGAAGGAGGGAGTGGAAACCATACAAACCTCAATCCAGGACCTATCTGGAAATACAACTAAACAGTGGAGAAACTACCCAATACAAACAACTGAACAAGAGCAAAAGAGAATCCTCAAAACCTTGTACACATGGAAGAACTAGCTTCCACACAACCTGCCCTTACCAGCACAACAAAATACAAGAGGTGGTGGACAGAGTGACCCTCAGTTAAGCAACTGGAGGGAAGGACCTACCAAAGAAAGACCCCAAAATGATCAAAACCAAAAGACAAACACAGAGTGCCCTTAAACGACAGCCCAAGACCAGTGAACTTGAGAGATCAAGGAAACCACACCACTAAACACCACAGGTATTCTACCACAGAAGTTCACACCATTAACCCAGGGAGCCAGAACAAATCAGTTTAAGAAGCTGAAGCTAACAAGAAGAGTCTCACAAACAATGGGAAGACAAAGAACCAATCCCCAAATGAAAGGAAAGGAGGAAGCCTCAGAAAGAAAGCTAGATGAAATACAGGCAAGTCAGCTATCAGATAATGAATTCAAAGCACTGGTTATCAGGAAGTTCAAAGAGCTCACAATGAGCTACCAGAAACTACAGGGGAGATACAATGAACTCACTGCAGACTATATCAACATGAAAAAGGAAATAGAAACTATCAAAAAAGGCCAAGAGGAAATGAAGAATACAATTTCTGAACTGAAGAACACAGTGGAAGGAATCAAAAGCAGGATTGATGAAGCAGAAGATCAGATCAGCGAGCTAGACAACAAAGTAGAAAAAAATACCCAGGAAGAGCAAAAAAAGGAAAAGAGGCTCAGGAAAAAAATGAAGAGGGATACAGAGAAATGCAAGACAATATGAAATGTAATAATATCCGAATAATAGGGATACCAGAAGGAGAAGAGGAGCAAGGGATAAAAAGCCTATTTGAAAAAGTAGCGATGGAAAACTTCCCCAATTTGATGAGAAAAAGTGTTTTCACAAACCCAGAAAACACAGAGTCCCAATCAAGAGGAATCCAAAGGGGTCCACTTCAACACACATCATCATTAAAATGGCAAAATTCTAAGTCAAAGAGAGAATCTTAAAGGCAACAAGGGAGAAACAGAAATTAACATACAAGGGAGCCACGATAAGGTTAACTGTTGACTTCTCAATTAAAATGCTACAAGCAAGAAGAGAATGGCAAGAAATATTCCAAGTAATGAGAACCAGAGGCCTTCAACCAAGGCTATTTTACCCAGCAAGACTCTCAATCAAGATAGAAGGCCAAATAAAGAGCTTCCAAGAC